GGGAAAGAGAGAGAGACACACACACACATAGCACAAAGCCTTTTTCATTGGTCTAAATTGGATTTTCCCTTGTACAGGAAATCCATATTTATTCAGCAAAACCAATGCAAGAAGAGGACATTCTGTGTGTGCCCCAGGAAAAAGCAGAGACCTCGGCTCAAGGAGACAAAGGAAATTGCAGCTCCGAGCATTTGTCTTCCATTCCCGTGTCTTCTTCCTGGAGAACTCAGCCTCTTTTCAGCCAGCGGCTTACGGACCCACTCAGGGAGAGAAGGACACCAGAGCCCAGGATTTACTCAGGACGAGGGTCGCTCCATCACACAGTTACTGCTGAAGCTTCACAAATTCGATAATGGCTCTCACATCGGAGATCATTCCAGTTGTGTATAACTGAACTACTATGGATTACAACGCACATCTCATCATCCCCATGGTTATTTGGTTCATCTTTCCGCCAGAACCTGAGATAGAGACAGACTGTTACTCCCAGCATACCCCATAGAGCACTGCCGGAAAAGGCCACAGCGGGATGCAAGGCTTGGAAGGGAGAGAGAAAGATTCCAGATGTTAATTCACGGGCAGAAGCAGTGCCCTTCCTCCCACTCTGCTGTCCCACTGGCACCAGTCTCATGTGGAAACCTGCCGCCTTCCTACAGCCAACACAACAGGGACCTGCTCTCAGCACTGGCCTGCGCAAATACGTGCACATCTGCGTGGTGGGGGCAGCATGGAGGTCAGGCAAGGCCGGTCATCTCTGAAGGGTTCTTCCTGCTGGCAAGATGCAGCTGCTTCTGTGCCTGCAGCATTGATGGCCATGTCACAGGTAGTTAACTAACAACCGCTAACCAGCACGGATGGGGCCATGTGAACCTGGTGTCCGACACAGCCCTCTCCTGCTCCATCATTGTCCTCTCACAGGGATTTGTCTCACCTCCCTCTCGTGCACCGACAGACACCCTCACATCTCCTGCTCTCTTGCACTACCAGGAGCCCCACTAAACACTCTCCATCCGGGGATACTCACGCGGCCCTCTCACTGTATGGAGTCTGGTCCACCCACTGCCACTGGCCCACCGCCTGTGCACGCAGACCGATGTAGTAATTGATTCCTGTTGGAACTTGTAGCTCCTTAGTGAGGAAAGCCTGGAAATCAGGGAGAGTGCAATGTCCGTGAGGTGCAGGACCGAGCAGAGAGGGGCTGCAGGAGTCCCTGTGGGGTGGGGCTGGTGGCAGAGGGGAGCAGCCGGTGCTGAAGGGATGCAGAAAGGACATCCCCCCTCCCCTGCAGGAGCAAGGAGGGGCTCTGAGACCCCTCCAGGGCCTGGCACCGTGTCCCCGGCTGCTGCGCCCCTCTCAGCCCTGCACGTACCTGCTCTGCTTCGGTGTTGATCACCACCAGGTGGGAGCCCATCCCAGTGCAGTTCTGCTCACTCTCAGCCCAGCTCATCTTATCAGCCGACAGATAATAGCAGCTGTTTTGAAAGTGTTTCCAGCCCTTCGGGCAGCACATCCAGCCTCGCCCTGTGCAGGGAGAGACCACAGACATGAATGCTAATAACAAGAGAGATGGTGGCGGCAAGGATCCCACTGCTCCAGGGACAATGCTCGTGTTCTCCTTAGATCACTTTTCCTGACAGAAAGGGCTTGAAAAGACAAGGATAGTACAGCTATTTCTTCCAATTGCTTTGGGGTATGGCCAGTGAGCTTTGCGTACCCATGGTAATCCTTGTATCATGATCTCAGGTCTTGACAAAGTTATTTTGGTGATCTGGTTTGACTTCTGCTTGCACAGTCTCCTTTAGGCCTTTAGCCCCAGGGAACAGGGAACATTGCTTCTTTCCCTGACTAGAGCTGCACTTCTCTTATTGCTCCATTGTTAACCTTCCCTGTGCGGCTGTACCTGTCCCTTTTGTTTTGTCAGTGTTCACAGCCATCCTGCCCTCCAGGACATCAGGAACATGGCCCTCTCCTCCCCCTAAGCAGTCCGCAGGAATTCCTTTTTCTCCCCACCTCTCTCCTCTGGAGCCCGCCTCTCCGGAGCCTGCCCCCGCTGCTGCTTGCTGTCATAGCAGACCCCAGCATTCCTTGTCCCCGTCCCAAAGACCCCCTGCACCCCTGCCAGCGCTACTGACCTTTGCCTTGCGGCTCTGCCGAGGTGCACTGCCACTCCATGAATGTCTGCTGCAGGGCTGTGGGCTGGTCACCACTGCGGGAGAAGGGCACGACTGGAAAGGGAGAGGAGAGGAGGCAGGGTTACCCCTTCCTCCCGGCTCCGCACGCACCATCTCTGGGCTTCACTCTTCTTTCCCATTTCCCCCCAAGCACTGTCTCAGCGTCGCCTTTCCTCGGGCTGTCTCTTTCCATTTCATAAGTGGTAACTGCCATCGTCTCGGCAAAGGGAACAGGCATTTCTGCTCCCAGCATCGCCCAGCTGCCCGCAAGGACTCCTCCGCCCACTGACTGACAAGATCAGTCATCAGACCAGGATGACGTGGCCAACAAAGCCAGAGAAGCTTGAGACCCACCGAAGCGGTGCCTGGTGGCTGTAGTCAGCCTGTGGCTTGTCAACAGAGTCTGTCCCAGCACCGAGCAGCTGCCATCAGGCCCCGTCGGGTGCTGGGGAGCAGAAGGGGTGGGGTTAGTGGATCCCTGCTCCACAGCTCTGAGAAAACTGGCCCAAACAAGTGGTATGGCTGCCTTCCCAGGCAGAAAGAGACAATCATCTTCCATGTCAGAGAGCAGAAGGACCGCTGGAAGGACATCACACTGAGGACATGCTAGACAGGGTGGGATTGATTCCACCCAACCACAGGCATTTACCATGTACATGCCTACGGACAAGCTGCCTGTCTAAATCTCTTTACAATCAGTGAATTCAGCGCAGCACTTCAGTGGCACAGTTTATCTCTTCCTAAGATAGACATCAACAGTAGCTTGGATGAGTGACAGTAGTTTGCATGGGTCTCTTTCACCAGCAACAAAGACACTCCAGGTCAAGGTCATCACATACCGCTAGAGCTGCTGCAACCAGGGGGGAAGGTAAACTCCTAGGACTCACTAGCCGGTTAATGGCAAATAATACAGTGTTGGTGATAGGCGTCAGGAGGCCACATCCACAACGCGAAGCACTTATCGCTGGCTCAGACACTCAGCCATAGTGATTGGAAGCTGATCAGGGTGTGCTAAGTAAGAGAGATGTCTGTTTTTATCAACCGTTTCCCTTGGAAATATTGCTACTTGTGAGGAGGGCAGAGTAATCATAGTGGCCTCTGTGACTGATGAGTGAATTCCTACAATGGAAGAAGGCTGAGTGAACTGACCCGCTGTGTAACTGTTCATCCCTCTGAAAAATCAGAGAGGGAATGTCTTCCAAAGTCAGCCAGACCAGCACAGGGCGAGCGTATACGTGGCTCAGCCCAAAATAGTGTAAAAAACTGAATGACTAGCAAAAGCATGTCTGAAGAAAGCAACGGGCCTGAGCTGGCTTTAACCCACATATTCCTTCTGGGTCACTGGGGACACCCAGCGTCTTGATGTTGAGCATATTGCAGAGACTGCTAATGAGAATCGCGTTTGTATTGTCATTCAACTGGGCGTTGCAATTGCTGCCCTCAACCCAGGACACCTCATCGTGCGACAGATAATAGCAGCTTTTTTGAAAGCATCTCCAGCCCTTCAGGCAGCATGTCCAGCCTCGCGCTGTGTGGGGAGAGACTGCAGAGATGAATGCTAATAACGAGAGAGATGGTGACTGCAAGGATCCCTGTTCTCCAGCCACAATGCTCAACTGTTCTCTGCAGTTCCCTGCGCCGGGCAGTGACTTCCCCTACAGTTTGGCTCCTGCCCCAACAAGGACAGGAACGTTAGATGCTACTGGAGATCACGCTCAGTAACTCCCATGCACTGTTTCAGGGGCTGCTGACCTGTTCTGGTCACGCATCTTGATGCCCGTCTTTAAACAAACCCCAAATTGTTCTCCTGAAGCAGTCTCAACCCTTCACCGGGAACGAGCCTGTGGTAGTGCAGTCGGCCTCAGCCACGAGGATTGTTTCCTCACCAGCAACCTGAAAAACTCCTTCTTCATACCTCATTGCTAACCCCCTGTGCTCCTCTTCCCCTGTGATGTTCATACCTACGCTGCCCTGAGAGGACTCCAACTCTCTCTTCTCCTTAGTCACTGCATAAAGGCTCCGGTTTTCCTCTCCTCAGGAGTCCCACCCAGCCCTGTTCATCTGCTTGACCTTCAGCCAGACCCTGAAGGGCCCTTTCACCTGGCCCCAGACTCTCATGTCTGCTCATTCCCGTCTCCCAGGCACTGACCGTTGCCTTCAACCACGCTCAGAGCTGTGAGGGAGGGGGACAACTGCAAAGGGAGAGGAAGCGTTAGAGAGATGGTTGAGGGTGGAAGGGATCTCTGGAGGTCATCTTGTCCAACCCCTTGCTCAACCAGGGCTACCTAGAGCCAGTTGTCCAGGAGCGTGTCCAGGCGGCTTTTGAATATTTCCAAGGATGGAGACGGCACAACCTCTCTGGGCAACCTGTACAAGTGCTCAGTCACCCTCACAGTAACAAGGTGTTCCCTGATGTTCAGGGGGAGCCTCTTGTGTTTCAGTTTGTGCCCATTGCCTCTGGGCCTGGCCACTGGGCACCACCCAAAGGAGCCCGGCTCCGTCTCCTTTGCACTGTCCCTTCAGTTGTTTACACACATCATTGACAAGATCCCCCTGAGCCTTCTCCAGGCTAAACAGTCCCAGCTCTCTCAGCCTCTCCTCATAGGAGAGACGCTCCAGTGCCTTCATCATCTTCGCGGCCCTTTGTCAGACTCTCTCCACTATGTCCATGTCTCTCTTGTACTGAGGAGCCCATCACTGGACACAGTACTCCAGTTGTGGCTTCACCAGTGCTGGGTAGAGGGGGAGGATCAGATCCCTTGACCTGCTGGCAACGCTCCTCTAATGCATATTGCAGAGACTGCTAATAAGAATCGCATTTGTATTGTGATTCAACTGTGCACTGCAATTGCTACCGTCTGCTAAGTGCAATTTGTACTTGTGTTTTTAATTAAATGCATTGCTGTATCACTCTGCTAATTCAAAATCTTATGTAACATCAATTAACTTGGATAATTAAATTTGCCATTAAAGATTAAACCTTCCATGTGTGGAATGTCTAAAAGAACCTGGCCAGACAGTATTAGACTCTAACAGCCTACCCTAAACCTGCCCTACCACTTAACAGAGTATTGTGAAAAGTTATACATTTGGGAACAAAGCAACACAAACTTCTGGGAATTGGGAACTAACGACAGCAAAAGGAAGGGCAGCAATTTATCCTAACAACATGCCTTCTTCCAGAATCCATCATCTTTATTGACAATTTGTGCAAACAATCCATGAATGATCCTTAGCAGAAAATGAGAATGAAACAGTGATCACAGTCTCCACAAACTGCATGTGCAAGAATCACTTTTAATGAATTATTCTACTATAACTCAGTTAACACTAAAAGGGTGTGAGAGTTTGCACTGTGCTGTTCATCCTGGAGATGCCAGGACTAACTGTGAAAAGTTGTTTTTTTTCCATTAGGACACAGTGTGTCAGAGCACCTTAGAGAGCTCAAGTGCAGGTCCAGCTGCCTGTATAGACATTTGTGCTGCCATCTCCAGGCTTTTCCTCCTCTGCTGAACATAATTAAGTTCTTTTTGTGTGGTATGCAGGTAAAAATTTTTTTCATGGTTCCAAAGAGGCCATGCAAGATGGGGATGTACAATCTGTGAACACTGAAAAGGCCTCAGGGTAAACAGTGGAAGATTTGGGGGATGTATGCAGACAGGTACAAAATCAGGGCTGAAGAGCCTTGAGGCCTTGCAGAAAGCCCAAGCAACCCTGAAATTCTGAAGATGGCCATGCTTCAAGTAGGGCATTAGACTAGAGACCTCCAGAAGTCTCTTTCCACCTAACGCTTTCTGCCATTCTAAGAAAGAGGATGTGTACAACAGAACCATCTGGCATAATGCTGTGGTAGTCCTAGCTCCCCCATACCAGTTGGCCAAAACCTCTGGTTTGGCTGGCCTGCAAAAGAGAAATTTGTGTCATGTCACAACTGTACCCTTAAATCCCCAATGTTTAAGTAATCAGGAAAGGTTTCACTCCTAAACATACCTTTCAAATACTCAACATTCAGGTTTTCCAAGCCCAAATGTTGGCGCTTGCATTCTTTCTCATGACAAAACAGTTCCTGAGTAAAAGCTCCCTCCTGGTTGGAAGATATTCCCCTCTGGGCTCTGATCTCTCTGCTCTTCTCCCAGCATTTCCCCCAGACCTCTCTCCTGTAACCAACCTGCAGATACTCACCAAGGAGAGCAATAACGAGGGCAATGCACGCCAAGAGAAGCAGCAGTGAGATCAGCCATGGGAGCCAAGGCGGGTATTTCTGGGGATGGTGCTCATGCTTCTTCGTCTCAGGAGGTACTAGAAGTGAAGAAACACACCAAACCACAGTCAACTATGCTTCAGTCAGCCCGCATACCAAGGATGTACAACTCAAGGGAGAGCTTCTCAAAAAAAAATGCTGTTTCATTTCTGATGTGGAAGTTACACAGTTTGGGAGCGGGGCAGATTGAGACAGAGCAGGGGACCTCTGTGGTTTCTTCAGAAGATCAGGTTCAGCAACGCTGTTCACAGCCCCAGCCCTGTTGGTGAGCTAGCAATGCTAATTGCTGGTGTTTGGGGGTAAGGCCTTCACATGGCCTTAAAATCCAGAGTGTAACCATGTCTTTCTAGATTGAGCCCAGAGCTGCCAAATACAACATTGCTCTGTCTGATACTTGAGACATTCACATGAAGATTTCATGTTGACTTCTCCCCAGAAAACATTTTACACCTGCTTCAGTTCCTTCTTAGCTATGTGGACTTGCTGTGTAGAAGAAGGCTGGTGTAAGCTGAATGAGAGCAGGAGACAAAAAAATGTGCAAAGCGATGATGGCACAGAACCACTGGAAGAGAAAAAAATTTTTTTTCCCTTCTGTCTGCTTTCCAAGCCAGGGTTCAGAGATTTGCTGTGCTAAAACTAGGCTGTGCTAGGCTGCATGCCTGAGGAGAACAGATGCCTGTGTCCACCAATCTGAGTAGTATCCTGCTCAGATTCAGACTTGCAGCGCCTGGTAGAGATATCTAGAGGGATACTGCCAGTACTGAAGAAGTTTGGGAGCAGGCAGGAGAATGGGCCACAGAAAGGAGAAGCAAATGCTTCTTAGGAGACCGTTCTAGGTTGTGGCAGGTACACAAGCCAGGGCAAACAGGATGGTAAAGAGACAGCAGCACTCACTGCAGGACAGGAATAAAGAAGTTTTGAGAGAGACTGATATTAATGATAAGCTTTAGAGAGACCTCATTCATTGTTCAGCACAAAATTCTCAAGTGTGCCAGCAGCCACGTGTGCCTGCCAGCCATGCCTAGTGAGCAAGACTTCCAGAAACCTGCTGTTTGAGGAAGCCCTCTGACTACTTCCCAAAACCTTGGGGGAGGCTATTACAGCAGGGCAAAAAGCATCATCTTTCATTATCAGAGGAGAAAACATTCATAGACAGGCAAGATGTAGATTTCGCTGATCAAATCATGTTTTGTTCCAGCGAGACCTTTTGTCTGTAGTGAAAACAAGGACCTGGATCATGATCTGGAGTCCAGCCACCTATTTCTGACAATAGATCTGATCAGTCCAAATGATTTCTTGATGTGCTGCATGTCCACAGATTGACTGTTCAACCTGTGCCCAGCCAGATCTGTGCATCCCACACTCACGCCCAGGTGGCACAGAGAGCACTGCCAGTATGCATGCACCTCACCAACACAACTGAAGTGCAGTAGATTTTGTGCATACTCAGTGGGTTAATCTCCTTGCAAAATGCTTCCTACAATTAGTCTGCATGCCTGCAATGTGTCCAGCATGATCTCAACACAACAGACCTGATGGGCACGTGCTGGTTATTCAGCATGTAAATCTAACATCTCCCAGGCACATGCAACAAGTGCTGTGCAGCACGGATGCCTGTGTTTCTACCTGGGAAATCCTGGTTGGAAATGCAGGAACCCTAACTGCACTGTGGTGTGAAATCCGCCCCGGTAGACTCTGCCACCTCCTGCCACAGATTATATGTTGTTTGATTAGCTGCTGCCTTCTCCTCTCTATCTTCCAATGACTGCCAATTTTATTATCTCTAGACCCTAACTAGAAGAGGCTACAGAATGGGAAAAGCCAGGTGAGCTTGGCCATTACCAACAAGGAGCCTGCATGGCCAGAGTAACCACTCAGAAGGACAACAGAGCAGCAAGACTCCCTCAATCTTTCAATAATTTTCAATCATAACTCTCATGCTATGAGCATACTATAAGGCTGTGAGAGACATTAGCACTGTGTGCAATGGTACTACTGGACACTTCTCTGAATTCAAAGTATAAGCTAAGTGTGTGATCGCTTGGACAGGCACACTCGAAGACAGACCCTGAGCACACACCCAAACCTATAGCATGAGCGTGGCATCAGCAGCTCAAGCAAACATGGCTGGATCAGGTGTCTTTGGAATAGGTCATTGGGAACACAGTGGGGAACTTCCACCACCCCCACCTCACCATGACGGAAACACTAGCTGTAACCAGAAGCAGCTAATCTTGGTGCATCAAAAACAGTGAGCTTTCAAGTCAGTCAGGAGTATGTACATTCTTTATTTCCATGACACATGCCTCAGAGCAGGCAGGAATAACCTGGAGCTGATATGAGCTCTGTTTGGGATTGTAAAACTGAGTTAAAGTGGTAAATAGGCAAGTTAATATCCTTAGCAGCAATAATAATTTATTTCTTTTTTTTTTTCATTCGTTCATTCATGCACACATACTTCTACCACTCTGGAACCTGCTGTTGTGTAGGGTCCTGCATCTAAGTGTGGAAGCAATGAGCCATACATGGAACATCTCTTTGTGTTCCTCCTTGTGGCATAAGAACTACAGAATACATACTGGTCAGAACATGTCTTAAATTTGCACAAAGCCTAGTAAAGGCACCATTTTACAACCATGATTTTTAATAGCAATAAAGATCTGTTTGTTTGGTGTGTTAATTATTTTTCAGGAGTGGTAGACATCAATCACAGAATTGGATCTTCCTCCAGATCTTAGATAATTCTTCATCTGTGTATTTTAGGGTGTTTTGTTCAAGCCCATTCTTCCTTTTAAATTTTGGATCTCTCTTCTCCAAGGACCATTTCTCAATCAGCCAAGGACAATGGGGCTATAAGTTTCCGCAGCCAGTGCCACCTCTCACAAAGTGGCAGAGGGCAAGTGACTGCTCTACTGTAAGGAGGCATGTTGGTTCTCTACTCCTGCTCTCTCCATAAGCAGGAATCTGTAGCCTCACTCTTTCAGAGGCAAGACCAGTAGCAGCCAGGGCTTGGGCTTATTTGCTGCCATTTGCTGCCCTGGGAGCCCCTCCACCTTTGTGACAGATCAGATTGTTTGTAATAAGCCATAGTCTCTATTGTTGGTATTGTCTCATCCAAAACTGGATAACATATAGAGAGGCAGCTACTGCCTGCCTCGTACTGGGGCTAAGCATTCATTCTGGACCCTCTACCGTTCACCACTATGGGTGTTGCAACCAGGGGACTAAGGGATCCCAAATATGTTCCTTAATGAATTCTCACTTGAAATCTACTGTTTGTGCTCTCAGCAGTCATCTTTGTTCATGTTGCAACTCCAACCACCTAAAGATTCCCACCTCTCCTCTTGTAGACATTCCTTGACCCTCTTACTTCAAAACTCCTCTAGTCTTCTGCTCATGTAGTGGTAGACAACTCCTTTTTCTGACCAATTTGTCAAGACCAGGTAGGAACCAGAGTCACGGAAAGAAAAGTCTCCATTCCCTGTTCTTCAGCTCCCCTCCCTCCAGGTGCCCTTTCCCTGAATAACACACCCATTCCTTACCTTCAACCACTGCAGCTGGTGATGCATTCTTGAACTTCACCTCAGCGTAAGTGATTTCTGATGCCATTTAATCACAGTGTGATCACTGATCCCCGTCCTTAGCTTTGTTATGTAAAAAGTGTGCCTTTTTGGTCCCTGGTTCCAGAGGGAGACACCAATAAGTTATTGAGCCTTTCCCATCTGCTCATTCACCCTCTGTCTGTTGAAGAAGGCTGTGCTGAACACTGGAAGCACTGGCGATAACCTGAGAATTCCTGAGACCTCAGAAATGCTCTGAACAGATCTTCAGTTTCTTAGCCCAGGAAATCAGCCCCGGCACTATGGAAACTTCTGAGAGATAAAAGAAAAATGAGAACCTAACAACTGAAAAGGAAGTTGCACTCCTCCTTCCCCATATCAGATTCTCAGCTGCTAGGCTTCCTTTTTAAGATCTTTTGGGTTTCTTTTTCTTTTTTCACTCTTCTTTTTTTACTCTCTCTCTTTTCCCTTATCTTCATGCCCTTCTTTGTCTGCTAGTAATTCTGCCATTGCTCTTAGGTTTGCAGTTATCATGGGTCTTAGGCCAGTTTAATCTGCCGCACAGCCCAATACAAAACGCATTCTGCCCTCACTTGTCTCTTGTGGTTAAACTGCATTTGCTACATCAAATATCACATGTCATGTCTTATCCTGGGAAGTCAGCCCCAGTTGGCAGCTAGCACTAGAACAAATTTCAAACGTGGAAATGTTCCTGTAGAAGTGAGACTGGGGAGTTGCGGCCTTAGGCAGAGGAATAGAAATAATCAGAAGTTTGATATATCCAAGGAGAAACAGAGAAGGATGAGGCCAGGGTCAGGGAGGAGAACAAGCAGAGTGGAATAAAAAAAAATTGTGTTGATGGTTTGAGAGGTTATTGGGAAGAGCACACATAGAGACCTCTCTATCACAACCTGGTTTACAGCCTGTGGAAGTTCAGAGCAGTGCTTGCTTCAGGGAGTCAGGCTCCATTTCTGAGGCTGAAAAGGGCTGGTTTATATTTTTTGCTCCAACACTGCCATTTATCTCCCTTTTCTGCTCTCTGGTAAAGGCCTTGGATATTACTTTGGGGAAAATGTCAGACTACTGTTTACTCTGATTTCAAACTGGGGCAGTTATTGAAAGGAGACAAGGGAAATGGCTGCTGAGATACACGCTGAACCAGAAAGACTTTTGAGAAGAAATGCCAATGAGTCAGGATACCTTGGAGAAAAAGGGTGAGAAGGGTTCACTCAGCAGATAGGACTCAGGAACCACAGAATGGTTTGGGTTACTAGGGACCTTTAAAGATCATCTAGTCCACCCCCCTGCCATGGGCAGGGACATCTTTCACTAGACCAAGTTGCTCAAAACCCTGTCCAATCTGGCCTTGAACACTTCCAATGACGGGGCACCCACAACTTCTCTGGGCAACCTGTTCCAGTGTCTCACCACCCTCATCGTAAAGAATTTTTTCCTTATATCTAATCTAGATCTAGCTTCTTTCCATTTAAAACCTTTGCCCCTTGTCCTGTCATTACAGGTGCTGATATAAAGTCTCTCTCCATCTTTCTTATAAGCCCCCTCTAAGTACTGAAAAACCACAATAAGGTCTCCAAAACAACCAGAAGGAAGAAGGAGGAAGTTTTGCTTGGTTAGTTTGGCTAGCTGGAATTTCCTCAAGGCAGACCAGAATGACACGTTAGCAGGACACCCAGGGAGCTAGCACAGAGGGTACACAGGGCAGAGTTGGAGGTGAGATAGGACAGCGCAAGGAAGAACATCAGACAACAGAGGAGAACAATGTGGCAGAAGGTAAAGGGCAAGGGAGGGATGTGGTGGACATCTGAACACAGACTACAGAGAACTGCCACTAAACAGAATGGGGCATATGTAGCTGGATTTCTTTACCAAGGAGCCTCCTCATGGCTCGTGTGCACTGAGCTGGCTTCACTTCTTTTTGTATTGTGTGCAAAGAGAGTGACTTGTCTACAAGAAGAGCAGCAGTTGCAGGACAGGAGCCTGGTCCCTTGAGAAGATGCATGCTGCCTGCTTTTCTTTCCAACATCCTTCCAGCACTTTCCTTTGTCTTCAGGCTTGGACCTCTCACTGGAATTAAGCCTCCCTAAGTGTTTGCTGAAACCTAGTTATGCCCTCAAATTTCATGCCGAGATTTCAGTCAAAGTAATCCTCTGCGTGCTTTCCCCCTGTGCCGGCCAACCGAGCCACAACAGACTCCGTCTCATGGGAAAAAGGCTTACTTCTTGGCAGGGTTTCAAAATTTCCACTATGAAGAAATGGGAAATACAATCAGCAGACAGAGAAGGAAGTCACAGTGTGGGTTCATGAGCTTTTTGCCACTGAAACACATCTCTAAACACAGCTGAGCTATTTCAAATGCAAATTCAGGATCTAGCAACTGATTTTATTCGAATACACTAGATTGCGCTCAAACATCAGGAGACAGCTCAATTCTCCCTTCTCAGCCATCAGAGTTGTTGCTTGCTGTCAAAATTCAACCCTGAACCATACTGCATAGGATGCAATGCTAGGCTCTTGTGCCCATCACAGTGAGGTGATACTCCTGAGGGTAAAATTGTGCTTTGAATTTCCTGTGCACTGATGGCACGTAAATGGATGAGAGGATAGAGAGAATCGAGCCCAGCAGTTAGTTGCAGGGCTGAAAATAGAAAAAAAGAAAACCTTGCTTAAAAAAAAAACAAACAAACCTCACACTTTGTTTCCTTGCATTCCCACTGCTGTTCCTCAGTTCCTCCCTTCCCCCGCCACCTGTATTCTACCCACCCCATGCAGTGCACCCTCGTCCTCCCACAATACCTGTGGCTCCCCGCTGACATCTTTCATCTCAGCCCCACTCAGCACTGCCAGGCACCTCCCATGCTCCTAACTCTCACGTACCTCGCAAGCCCCAGCTCCTTCTTAGGACTCGTATGTTTGCTCACCACTACAGTCCTGCTTTCCCTCCTTACTCATGCTCCAGCTGCTGCTTTTTGGTGGTTGCTCTGCAAGCTGTGCAGGCACCATTTGGCTAGCTGACCCAAACAGAAGGCAGCAGAGGCACTAATGCTCTTTCTCCCCTTACCTGTGTCATGGATGCGTGGTTAGATAGCTTAAAGTATCACTGTCAAAGATATTTGCAAAAGTGATTCAATGAAGTTCGATGGCAAGGTTCACTCTATTACTTATTAAATGAATGGAATGTATATAAAAAGAGAAAGAAAGAGAAAATTGAGGTAGAATAAAATACAAGAGGGTAAAGGAGGCCCTCCCGTTGAGTCACGAGGTTCAGAATGGACCCCTTTGCTTTCTGAACTGTTTCTCAGAGAGGAGTCTAGGTGCAGCTGGATCCAATCCTAGTCTCAGAGTTGGTCAATGGTTTATGTCTAAGGATTATATATGTTTAACAGCAGTTTAAGGTTTGTTCACAGTTAAGAGAGAATCACAGGAATTTAGCAGTAATTAATCATGGGTTAATTTAGCATTTACAAAGTGATTAAATAGGTTTTACTACAGTATTCGAATTGATTCACACACACACGCACTAGACCTGTATAAAGGTACCTAGTTTATTGCAAATTTAGTGAAATACACAGAATACACATATATAAAGGTACCTGGTAAAAATTCCCCTCGAGTTCAGTGAAATACACACTTCAAATGATTGTCTCAACAGGTGCAGGTTGAGGCTTAAGGAGTGAAAGGTGCTGGAGATCAGCCCAGGTCCTGTTGCCAGGCCTCTGTATGCAAACTTAAAAGTTCACAGCTCTGAGAGGCATCCCGCTCAGAGGGAGATACTGGTGCAGCCCACTGCGGTCCCGAAGAGCTCAAAGGGTCTCACTTGGTACCGCTGTTTATAGGGTTGTGAGATTATTGACTTTAGGCATCAGCGAATTTCCATTCCGGCCACAACTCAGGTTGGTAATTGCTGGAGTTCTCATCAATCTCAGCAACACAGGTACAATCCTTCTGTACCAATCTGCCTGAGTTACGATCCACAGTGATACGTCCCAAGGCTGTCAGGGGCTGACTGATGATGCCAGAGGAGATCAAGGCATTCTTGTTCCCCAGCTCAGCCATGCAAGGGTTCCTGGTACGGCCAAGGGGCGCTTAACCGCCAGACTCATTGCTCAAAGGCCAAGCCTTGACAGGAGTCCCTGTGATCATAAAGCAGTCCAGAGGAGGGGGAGCAGGGGATGCACCACCACAATCTGTCAATGAAGTTTGAGTAAGGTAGTATCTGCAAGTCTTTCATCTCACTGCCAGTTTCACCCAATTCAGCAAGCAGGTCCATGTAACAGCAGAGGAGACAGCACCATTGCATGTGCCTTACATCTTTTGAAAATCAAGCTGAACCAGTAGGGTTAAAATTGAATTCAGAAGCAAAGAGGAGGACTTGAATCCTAAAGTTGTGACCCCACACACTCCAAAAAATATCCCCTTTTGAAGTTGAGCACAGCTGTAGTGGAAGCTGCAGGGAAGTGAGACACTTGTTACAAGCCAGTCAGAATGGAGAGGGGCAGCTGAGGGAATTCAGTCATCACAGGCAGCGCAGAGGTTATACAGGGACATCACAGTGACGGCCCAAAGCCAATACCTAGCACCTCTTTCGAAGATTTGACAAAAGGCAAAAGGAAGCTGCCGTGGCTAAAATGTCGAGCCAAAGGGATTATCAGCGTGCGTTCTTCAACCAGCTAACGTTGCATTCAAATGAGGAAAACTGACATGATCATGACCTCAATTAAATGTAAAACCACAACAAAGAAAAGGTAAAAGAGTCTGAAAAACAACTAGCAGAAGCTGTCAGAACTAGTAATAAATCCTTTCCTATAGATACAGAAAGCAGAAACCTTTTCACAAGCTTTGAGGACAACTGAAGAGCAGGGTATAAAAGAAGCAGTCAGAGAGAACAAGGACATTGAAATAAAGCTAAATTAATTATTTGTGACAGTGGAAGAAACTGGAGAAATTCTCACAAAAGAACCCTGCTTTGGAGGGGATAAAACCAAAGAACCTGTCCAAAATAAAAGTGATTGTGCAAAAGGTATGGAAATA